CCTGGCGGGGCAGAGCAAGTCACGTTTCAGCCTCACTCACAGGCCAGCTTGAAATTCGGTCCAGCAGCCACTGCCTCCTGAGAACTCCTCCGGATGCCTGCAGGCTTATTCAGGGCTGACTCACTTCCTTACCTTAATTCTCCCCTAATACCTTCTCTTTCTCCGCTGCTTTACTCCTGGCACCACTATCTGGGTGTGGAATGTCTGGGGAGGCTGTGCAGGTGGGTTGGCTGAGCTGTCTGCCCAGTTACCACAAACACGGCTAGGGAGAGAGGATGCGGGGGTAAAAGTAAAGCCAGATTTGTCTGCTGGCTCTGAAGTGCTTCCTAATCCCCTCAGTCAGTTTGATCTTCACAAACATGAGCACAGGTCAATGCCTCTGAACAGGGGTCCTGAGAGGCTGGTGGAGGATGGAGCAGAGGATGGATGAAGAACAGGAAGTGGGGGGAGAGTGATGGCTGCTTTGGCTTTTAGAAACTTCCATCCTACATTACCTTCCCCGGGGAAGCTCCCAACTCCCATCCCTGGGAGAACAAACTACATCCTGGAAGGTCAAGTTCAAGGTCATGTTAAGTATGATGGTTTCCTGGATGAGTCTAAAGAGGCATCATTAATATCCTCAGCCTATTTCCAGAAGTCCTGTTGTTCCTTTTACCTACATGTATGGTGTCCTTCCCTGTGTACAACTTAACTTTCCTTTTCGGGTTTTGGATGCTTTGTCCGTACATTGCTTCCTCTGTTTGCCTGCTTCAGCTTGTACATTAGGAGATAGAAATTGGATCAATGTTTTAATTTTTATTTAAGTTATTCATTTATTTAGTTTAAAGAGTCAAAGGATGGTGCAAAACTTGTGAAAAAGAGCTATCTCCCTCTCCCTTAGCAGAGATAATCATCTTTAATTTTTTTTTTTTTTTTTGAGACAGAATGTCACTCTGTCCCCCAGACTGGAGTGCAGTAATGTGATCTCGGCTCACTGCAACCTCCATTTCCTGGATTCAAGCAATTCTCCTCCTGCCTGAGCCTCCGGAGTAGCTGGGACTACTGGTGTGTACCACCATGTCTGGCTAATTTTTGTATTTTTAGTAGAGATGGGGTTTTATCATGTTGGCCAGGTTGGTCTTGAACTTCTGACCTCAAATGATCCACCTACCTCAGCCTTCCAAAGTGCTGGGATTACAGGTATGAGCCACCATGCTCAGCCCAATACATATTTTTAAGATCTCTCTAAGAAATATTAATGATAGTTTTTTTGTTGTATTTTAAAAACTTTTCTTTTCCCTGCATAAAACGGTTTTCTCCAAGTTGGTTTTTCCATTTATTTCCATCCTGCCTTTCATGTCAGAGGCTTTGGTCAGATGTCTGATAATTGTTGGTTATCTGAGTAGGGGCACTAAAAAGGTGATTGAAAAGTCTGAGCACATGGGGAGAACTTTTTGACTATGAACTTCATTGCAGGGTGATCTGGCCGAGCCATTGAGCCATTAATTGTTATGAGTATCTTTATGCCTTTTTTTTTTTTTCTAGTCAGATTCTTCAAAATACACTTTTCCACTGATCACCTGGAGTTACGAAGTCCCAGGAACTCAGGGAAGGAAAAGGCTAGAGTTTCACATTACAGCTGTGTTTACTCAATCACCTGCTTTAAGTACAAATTCTTCTTACCAGCTGAGTCCAGAATCCTCTAATTTAGAGACAATGCAGTTTACTTTCTTCTGGGAATAAACTTTATTTATTTATTTAGAGGCGGAGTCTCGCTCTATCACCCCGGCTGGAGTACAGTGGAACAATCTCAGCTCAACCACAACTTCCATCTCCTGGGTTCAAGAGAGTTTTGTGACTCAGACTCCCAAGTAGCTGGGACTATAGACATACACCACCACACCGCACTAATTTTTGTATTTTTTTTTTATAGAGGTGGGGTTTCTCCATGTTGTCCAGGCTGGTCTGGAACTCCTGGCCTCAAGTGATCTGCCCACCTCAGCCTCCCAAAGTGCTGGATTACAAGCATTAGCCACCCTGCCCGGCCATCTTCTGGAAATAAACTTTAGTCTCCCACCAATTGTCTGGATGGTAGGATATGGGAGGGTGTTTGGGTATATAATATTTTCTTAAATTTTCAAACAATTGTCTTGTTCTTAAGACCCACCTTCACCTCTAATTCTGGTGCCAACTCCTGAGCCTTTTGGAGATTCCACAGAGTAAATCTAGTTGCTTTTAGCTCTTTCTCCTGTTCAGTTTAGGACTCAGCTCTCTTGGATCTGCTAAATTAGTTGCCACTAATTTGTTTGTTTTCCAGCTTCCAAGATGGCATAGTTGTTGCCTCCATTCCCATTGCTAACTCATGGTCCATTCTGCGTGTGTATGATCTTTCCAGGACCTCAAGTGAAAGCCTCAGGTCTTCGCCAAGGTCTCTCTACGCTGGCTGGGGCCAAACTCCATTCTCCTAGCTCTGAAAAGCCTCTGAAACTTCAACTCAGCTGTCTAGCTGCAGATGCTATTCTCTACTCCATCTGCCAGAGTCATGCCCTGTGTATGGGGGTTTAGGAGTCAGAGAAGCCTCAAAAAGGAGAATTTTAAAATAATCAACTTCCGGCAGGGCACGTTGGCTCACGCCTGTAATCCCAGCACTTTGGGAGGCCGAGGTGGGTGGATCACCTGAGATAAGGAGTTCAAGACTAGCCTGGCCAACATAGAGAAACCCCATCTCTACTAAAAATACAAAATTGGGCCGGGCACAGTGGCTCAAGCTTGTAATCCCAGCACTTTGGGAGGCCGAGGCGGGTGGATCACGAGGTCAAGAGATTGAGACCATCCTGGTCAACATGGCGAAACCCAGTCTCTACTAAAGATGCAAAAAATTAGCTGGGCATGGTGGCGCATGCCTGTAATCCCAGCTGCTTGGGAGGCTGAGGCAGGAGAAAATCTGAACCCAGGAGGCGGAGGTTGCGGTGAGCTGAGATCATGCCATTGCACTCCAGCCTGGGCAACAAGAGTGAAACTCCATCTCAAAAAACAAACAAAAGTCAACTTCCAGCTGGGTGAGGTGGCTCAGGCCTGTAATCCCAGCACTTTGGAAGACTGAGGTGGGTGGATCACATGAGGCCAGGAGTTCAAGACCAGCCTGACCAACATGGTAAAACCCCATCTCTACAAAAATACAAAAATTAGCCAGGCTTGGTGGTGCATGCCTGTAATCCCAGGTGCATGCCTGTAATCCCAGCTACTTGGGAGGCTGAGGCAGGAGAATCACTTGAACCCACGAGGTGGAGGTTCCCTAGTAGCTCCCGAGTAGGAGCCTCCAGAGTAGCTGAGATTACAGGCACCCACCACCATGCCTGGCTAAGTTTTGTATATTTAGTAGAGAGGAGATTTCACTATGTTGACCAGGCTGGTCTTGAACTCCTGACCTCAGATAATCTACCTGCTTCAGCCTCCCAAAATGCTTGGACTGCAGGTGTGAGCCTCTGTGCCCTGCCAAATATAGAATATTTTTATCCTCTCAAAAAGCTTCCTTGTGTCCTCAAGAAGGATTTTTATGCAGAATTTTTGGGTTTCTGCTCTGTGTCTCCTTTCTCTCCCCCAAATCCCCGCTGCCTTGGCAGTCTTGCACTCCCATCTGTTTTCCCCACCCAGTAACACTGCCAGTCTCTCCTTGGACACTGTTTCCCAGTCAAGAAAATGTCTTCAGCATGAAGGCCAGGCGTGGTGATTCATGTCTGTAATCCCAGCACCTTTCGGGGCCAAGGTGGGTGGATCAGCTGAGGTCAGGAGTTCGAGAGCAGCCTGGCCAACATGGAGAAACCCATCTCTACTAAAACTACAAAAATTAGCCGGGTGTGGTGGTGCATGCCTATAGTTCTAGCTACTCGGGAGGCTGAGGCAGGAGAATCGCTTGAACCCAGGAGGCGGAGGTTGCAGTGAGCTGAGATCGCACCACTGCACTCCAGCCTAGGTGACAGAGCAAGAATCCATCTCAAAAAAAAAAAGAACAACAACAAAAAAAGAAAATGTCTTCAGAAAGCGAGGGTGAACTCTTAGTGACCATAGCTCTGTACTGCTTGATGTGCCATATCTGCAAAGAGTTGTTTATTATATTTTTGTCTGGGCTTCATAGTCATTTATAGCAGAGGCTAGAGAAAGATAAATCTGATACCAGCTACTCTATCTGACTTCTATCAGACCTAGAACCAGATGCTTTAAAATATCTTTTTTTTTTTTTTTTTGAAAGGGAGCCTTGCTCTGTCGATCAGGCTGGAGTGCAGCGGTGTGATCTCGACTCACTGAAACCTCCACCTCACAGGTTCGAGCTATCCTTCCGCCTCAGCCTCCCAAGTGGCTGGGACTATAGGCGCATGCCACCATGGCTGGCTTATTTTTGTGTTTTTTTAGTAGAGATGGGGTTTCTCCATGCTGGCTGGGCTGGTTTCAAACTCCTGACCTCAAGCGATCTACCTGCCTCGACCTCCTAAAGTATTGGGATTACAGGCATGAGCCACCATGCCTGGCCTAAAATATCTTTTTAAATACACATTTTACACATTTTCTTGACATGCTGGCTGAAACAGGGAACATGCAGGAAACACATCACCAAAGTGGAGCCCTCCTGGGATCTTGAAGATAACCCAAAGGTCCTGATAGAATGAATCTAGTGGGGCTGTATTCTGCAGCTAACCCACTGGGTGGTCTCTGGCAACTCCTCGGGGGTGGGTGGGCGGGGGGTATTGTGATTGTCAAACCAGCCACCGGGTAGTCCCTTTAGGTGTGATTTTAGAATCAGATGGAGCAGAGTTTGCATTTTGGCTCTGATACTTACTGTGTGCCTGGGGAAAGTGATAGAATCACTCAGTGTTTGGTTTTCTTATTTACAAAACAGAGAGAGTAACACCAACCTTAGAGGATCACTAGAAAAGCTAATGGGAGAAATCAAACTAGTGGGGAAAGGGCGGGCCCACTGAGAACCATCCCAGCAACCTGACCACAGCTGGTCTTCCCTGGATACCATGAACCACATTGTCCAAACATTCTTCACTTCCATCCACACCGACTGTCCCCCCAGCTATGAGATACTGAAGGAGGAGCCTGAGATGGCTGTGCTGGGGGCTCCCCACAACCCTGCTCCCCCAACATCCACTGTAATCCACATCTGCAGTGAGACCTCCATGCCCGACCATGTCGTCTGGTCCCTGTTCAACACCCTCTTCATGAACTCCTGCTGCCTGGGTTTCATAGCATTTGCCTACTCCCTAAAGTCTAGGGACAGGAAGATGGTTGGTGACCTGACCAGGACCCAGGCCTATGCTACCACCAAGTGCCTGAACGTCTGGGCCCTGATTTTGGGCATCATGATGACCATTCTGCTGATCATCATCCCAGTACTCATCTTGCAAGTCTATCGATAGATTAAGAGGAATCATCCAGGCCAGGGACTGCCTGTGTCCTGTTTCCCATGACTCCACCTTCCATTCCTTGCCCTGCCCCGAGCTGAGTCACGTATCAGCCCTTTGTCCTCACACACTTTTCTACAAAAGTGTTCAATAAAATGCACGTGTTCCTGGTTTAAAAAAAAAAAAAAAAAAAAGAGCCAGGCATGGTGGCTCAAGCCTGTAATCCCAGCACTTTGGGAGGCTGAGGCGGGTGGATCACCAGGTCAAGAGATCGAGACCATCCTGGTCGACATGGTGAAACCCCGTCTCTACTAAAAATGCAAAAAATTAGCTGGGCATGGTGGTGCGTGCCTGCAATCCCAGCTACTCAGGAGGTTGAGGCAGGAGAATTGCCTGAACCCAGAAGGTGGAGGTTGCGGTGAGCCGAGATCGCGCCATTGCACTCCAGCCTGGGTAACAAGAGCGAAACTCTGTCTCAAAAAAAAAAGAGCTAATGATGTAGCATGTCATATGCTGAGCTGGGTGCCTTCTACATAGCAACATCCAACACGTGGTGGCCACTGATAGCTCCATTTACTGACAGGAAGATGCTTTGTACCCTGTTAAGTAGTTCATAAACTTGGTGGTCAGCATCTTTTGGACAGCACAGCATCTAAATCCCTCTTCCTCCACTATGTGAAGGCCTCCCCTTGCTTCCCATTCCCCCAGACAGGAATGATAGATAGTTCACTGTCCCCATTACTGCTCCATGGTGGCAAATGGGGACCATTGGATACTCCTGCTAAGGAAAACGGGAGAATGTTATTCGGGCAGTGGAGGCAGAGGCAGCACCAGGTCCCCTGGCATGGAAGGGAGGGTCCTAACCAGACCATGCCTGGGGTGGGGTCCAGCTGGACTCTGCTGCCAGTAACCCTTGGTTTTTTATCTTTTTCTTATCCTGGGTTTCTGGACTTTATGATGATTCTGTGAGCTGCCTGATATGTTTCCAAAAACATGACAAAACAAAGCTTTTCCACTTCGCTAACCAGATTTGGTTTCTACTTCTTGTTACCAGGAACTCTGATTAATACACTTGGTGCCAAAAACAATGCAAGTTATTAAAAACAGGGCAATGAGGTCTGACACACCTGTGGGACTGAGAACGCCAAGTGAACACACCTGTTCTCCTGGTTGCATTCTAAGGATAGGCAACTCATGGAAAAAGAAAAACAGCCAACAAAAGTTGAACCTCAGGAGTAAACAAAGAAGTAAAAATTAAAACAGATAGGGCCAGACATGGTGGCTCACGTCTGTAATCCCAGTGCTTTGGGCGGTTGAGGTGGGCGGATCACTAGAGCTCAGGAGTTCAACACCAGCCTGGGCAACATAGAAAAACCCTTCTCTACTAAAAATTCAAAAATTAGCTAGGCATGCTGGCATGTGCCTGTAGTCCCAGCTACTCAGGAGGCTGAGGTGGGAGGATGGCTTGAGGCCAGGAGGTGGAGGTTGCTAGTGGGCTGAGATTGCGCCACTGCACTCCAGCCTGGGTGACAGAGCAAGGCCCTCTCTCAAAATAAATTAATAAATAAAATAGATAACGTTTTTTCCTGTCAAATTGATAAATACACATGCATGTAATGAAGTTATAATAGCTGGTGTTGGCAAGGGAGCAAGTGTCCCACCAGGTGGCAGAGAGAGTGCACAGCCTGGACCAGTCCCAAGGGGAGTGATGGAAACTTACTATTGGAGAAACACTTTTAAGGTGAATTCCTATTGCTGAGCAGTTTTTCTTTTTTCTTTTTCTTTTTTGGAGTCCTTCTGTGTCACCCAGGCTGGAGTGTAGTGGCACGATCTTGACTCCCTGCAACCTCCTCCTCCTGGGTTCAAGCGATTCTCCTGCCTAAGCCTCTGGAGTAGCTGTGATTATAGGCACCTGCCGCCACACCTGCTAATTTTTGTATTTTTAGTGGAGACAGGGTTTCACCATGTTGGTCAGGCTGGTCTTGAACTACTGATCTCAAGTGATCCACCAGCCTCAGCCTCCCAAAGTGCTTGGATTATAGGCATGAGCCACCATGCTCCACCTCCTGTCAGATCAGCAGCAGCATTAGATTCTCAGAGAAGTGTGACTGCGATTGTGAACTGTGCATGCGACGGATCTAGGTTGTGCTCCTTATGAGAATCTAATGCCTGATGGTCTGAGGTGAAGGTGAGGCGGTGATGTTAGCGCTGAGAGGGGCTGCAAATACAAACGTTATCAGAGAGTTTGCCTGCACAGAGACCACCATGAATCAATTGCTTGCAGACTCATCTCAAAACCCCAACAGTGAGTGGCAAGGGACAATTAAGCTGCATCTGGTGACAGGCTTTATGGTGGCAAGTGAGTGGATGTACTTCAGTTGCACAGCTGCCTTAAAAGTATGAGACATCTTCAAGTCTGTGTACATTCTGAATTAAAGTCAAGGCGGAATGGCCTGAGATTGACAGAAAAGCACTGAAAAGCCTGCTTCCATTTCCAACATCCTACCCTTGTGAAGCAGGGTTTTCCACAGTGACAGCAACCAAAACGAGATTTTGGCGTAGACTGGGCATAAGCAACGCACTTGGGATGTCACTGTCTCCCAAACCACCTAGATGGGACTGTCTAGTTGCAGGAAAACAAGCTCGGGGATCCCACTGACTCTACATTATGGAGAGTTGTGTAATTGTTTCATTATATATAACAAGGTAGTTATAATAGAAATAAAGTGTGCAATAAAATGTTTGAGTTTGAGTCATCCCGAAGCTATCCCCCACCCCCAGCAGTCCGTGGAAAAACTGTCATCCATGAAACTAATCCCTGGTGCCAAAAAAATTGGGGACCACTGCCTTAGCTGTTCTCTCATGCCCGTTTCTCCTCTCCCCCAACCCTAGGCAACAAATAATCTACTCTCTGTTGCTTTTGATTTCTCTATTCTGAACGTTCTCTATAAATGGAATCATTTACTATGTGATCCTGTGTGGTCTTCTGTGACTGGCTACTTTCATGTAGCATGTTTTCAGGGTTCATCCATGTAGTAGCCTGTATCAGAACTTCATTCCTTTCTATGATGGAATAATATTTCATTGTATGGACATATCACATTTCATTTATCCATCTTCAGTTGATGGATTTTTGGGGAGATGCCGCTTTTGGGTACTATGGATAATGCTGCTATGGACATTTTCATGTGGAGGCATATTTTCACTTGTCTTGGGTGTCTACCTAAGAGGGGAATGGCCATCACATAGTGTTCATGTTTAATTTTTTGAGGATCTGCCAAACTGTGTCTCAAAGTGGCTGCCCATTTGACATTCCCACCAGCAGTGTAGGAAGGTTCTCATTTCTCCACATCCTTGCAAATACTTGTAATTGTTTATCTTTTTTATGCCAGCCATCCCAGTGGCTTTGAGGTGGTATCTCATTGCTTGTGGATGTTCTGTTTTGTTTTGAGCCAGAGTTTCACTCTTGTGCCCAGGATGGAGTAGAATGACATAATCTCGACTCACTGCAACCTCTGCTTCCTGGGTTCAAGCAAGTCTCCTGGCTCAGCCTCCCAAATAGCTGGGATTACAGGAGGCTGTCACCATGCCCCACTACTTTTATGTTTTTAGCAGAGACGGGGTTTCACCATGTTGGCCAGGATGGTGTCAAACTCCTGACATCAGGCAATCCACCTGCCTCGGCATCCCAAAGTGCTGAGATTGGAGGCTTGCCACCAAGCCCAGGCTTTTTTTTTTTTTTTTTTTTCTAAGACAGGGTCTCACTCTGTCACACAAGCTGGAGTACAGTGTTGCCATCACAGCTCAGTGCAACCTCTGCCTCCTGGGCTTAAGTAATCCCCCCACTTTAGTCTCCAGCGTAGATGACACTGCAAGTGTGTGCCACCATGCCCAGCTAAGTTTTTCTTTTCTTTTTTGTACAGACAGGGTCTCACTCTGTTGCCCAGGCTGGTCTCAAACTCCTGGGTTTAAGCGATCTACCCACCTTGGCCTCCGGAAGTGCTGGGATTACAGGTGTGAGAGCTACTGCACCCAGCTGTGTGTTTGAGATAGATCCTCGATTTGTCACCCAGGCTAGAGTACAGTGCTGTGATCTCAGCTCATTGCAACCTCTGCCTCCTGGGCTCAAGCGAGCATGTCTGGCTAATTTTTACATTTTTGTAGAGACAGGTTTTCACCATGTTGGCCATGCTGGTCTTGAACTCCTGACCTGAATTGATTCATGAGCTTCAGCCTCGAAAAGTGTTCGGATTATAGGCATAAGCCATTGCGCCTGGCATCAGCCATGTGTTTTTAAAATTTTTTTCTTTTAGTAATTTTTTTTTGAGATGGAATCTGACTCTGTTGCCCAGGCTGGAGTGCAATGGGGTGATCTTGGCTCACTGCAACTTCCACCTCCTGGGTTCAAGTGATTCTTCTGCCTCAGCCTCCTGAATAGCTGGGACTACAAGCGAGCACTGCTATGCCCAGCTGATTTTTGAATTGTTAGTAGAGACGGGTTTTCACCATGTTGGCCAGGATGATCTCAATCTCTTGACCTTGTAATCTGCCTGCCTCGGCCTCCTAGAGTGCTGGAATTTCAGGCATGAGCCACTGAGCTTCACTAATTCTTTTTTTTGAGACAGGCTCTCTGTTGCCCAGGCTGGAGTCCAGTGGCACAATCTCAGCTCCCTGTAGCTTTGACCTCCCAGGCATTGATCCTCCTGTCTCAGCCTCCCAAGTAGTTGGGACTACAGGTGTGCACCACCACACCTTGGCTAATTTTTTTTTTTTTTTTTTTGAGACAGAGTTTCACTCTTGTTGTCTAGGCTGGAGTACAATGGCATGATCTCAGCTCACTGCAACCTCAACCTCCCTGGTTCAAGTGATTCTCCTGCCTCAGCCTCCCAAGTAGCTGGGATTACAGGCATGCGCCACCATGCCTGGCTATTGTTGTATTTTTAGTAGAGACAGGGTTTCTCCATGTTGGTCAGGCTGGTCTCGAACTCCCGACCTCAGGTGATCCACCCACCTTG